TTTCAGTGCAAAACCGACCATGAGCCACTATATAAGAAGGACTAGAGCTCATTCTTCAACACACATCATTTGGAGCTGAACCTCACTACCACATCTTGTACTTTTACTTTCTTAGTAGTATTTGGAGCTAGCAAAGCTATCAAGGAGGGCTTGGCTCCTTGGAAGAAGAGTGACATCTTGGTATGAATAATACTATAAAGAGTTCTTCAATAGTCATGCTCTCATATCATTTATATAGTAGTGTATATGAACTAGAGTATAGTTGTCTTGTTATAATCATGATATATGAACTAACATATAGTTGTGTGTTATGATCTTAACATGTTCAACTTGATGCTTAATCATTCATATGGTTTGTATGAGTAGAAGTAGGGTTAAGTTGAGGTGGCGGTTCATCGTTCCTTTAGGTTTGCCCATATCCTTTACCTATCGATCCATAGGGTCGGGGACCTAGGGGGATATGGGTAGTTTCTTTGTACACGGGCATGGTGCTCGGGTGCACGGAAACCTTTGAATATGATGGTGCCCCACGGTTGAGGGGTAGGCGACAGGTGGTGATAGCCCTATTCATCCCTTGTAATCCCCCACGTTCGGGTATTGTGTAGGTGTTTTAAAGTGTCTTGCGCTTGCTGGCAGACCAGTGCTCAGAGATCTCCCCGTCCATCTTAAACTTGGTTCTAATTCTAATCATATAACTTGTATGATCATTAACTGTTCTTTGCACGGCTATATTAGAACATGCTGGCTCCACATTGGAATATTGTTTTATTCTTTGTTTCACTTTTATCCTTGAGGTTAGCCCAGATGTGTGTCCACTATCCTTGATATACCGTTTTTACCCCTATCATAAACTATGGTCCACTATACAAGTATGTAATCTTGTTCATGCACATGCTAGACTCTCATACCTTGCCCTCCTTTTGGAAAATATAAATAACGATACATTGTATACTTCTGGGTGAAATGCTACAATGATAGATCTGTGCGCTTGCAGATACTTTATGTAATCGTTAAGAACTATTGTAGTTGGTGTTTCTTGGTGGCATCACTGAGGTTAACTCAATCTTAGTGATGGTGTTAAGAAATACCAACAAGCATTTCTGGCGCCGTTGCCGAGGATGGACTTAAAACCTCTACACTTGGTGATCACGCTAAGAAATGCCAACAAGCATTTTTGGCACCGTTGCTGGGGATGGACTTAAAACCTCCACACTTGGTGATTGCGCTAAGAAATGCCAACACGCCTTCTGAGAAAATCACGTGGGGAAATGGGCCACCAAAACCGACGCCCCAGCTTTGCCGAGAAGGAATCCATCCGCATGACCACGGGAACCATTGGGCCCAATGGTCCAAAACTTGACGTACCATCACCCGAGCCAGTGCAGGCGAGTGATCGGACACTCAGGTCGAGTACTGGGCCCGGCACACCCCTTCCGCAGGTGTAAGCGGTAGTGATTCATTCACTATTGACCCTGCCATACTTGAGTCAGGGGGTATTCGGGAGGGTTACCAGTGTGATTATAAAACCTCTGACACTCGTGTCACATAAATCTCCCAATATCCGGATGAGCTCGAAGTACCTTATTTCAGCGAATGTGTGCCCCTTCACGGGAAATCGGAAAACTGGTTGGCCCTTGGCTGTAACCAAAGTACAAGCTCCTAGAATCTAGAAAAGAGTTTTATGACGTGCCCATGCTGGTCAGGCTTTGTCCTATTGCTCCTATTCATTAGGACGCGGAAGCTCACTCGTTCTACCCGTTACCAGCTCGAAGAGTAACATGCGCAACTGCCAATAGCTGCTCACGCGTTCGTTATTCGCCCACAGTGGTTCCCAACCTGGGATGCTGTTATATTGGCCTCAGGGCTCCAAGACAATGACCTCGCTCTCTCCACTAATGAGGCTCATGAAAATTTGAGATCGCATTACTTAACGGGTGTCAAAGAAAAATGTGATGCCCTTAGTGTTTGTTAACAAATGACTCACATCGGGTCACCCTAAAAACAAACTAGCATAGTGACGCACGAGTGATGGCGGTGCAATTACCCTATCCTCATTATTTGTTCTACGACTAGGACTTAATGATGCTCAACCACTAAATACATGCCGGAATACATCGGGGACCGACTTCCCGAGTACAGCGGTGTTATCATCCAAACATGGTGCCTACGGACATCCTGGAGGCCACACTTCTGGTTATCAGGTGCCACCACCCGAACATGGCGTTGACAATGTCCCGAGGGCTACGCCCAGGAAACCATGTTTCCCGATATAGGGTGTACCACCCAAGCCAGGCGCTCACAGTGGCCAGGGGGCTATGTTCCCTGATGTACAGTGTACCACCACCCCACTCGGTACCTAAAGAAGATTCTCAGCACCCGAGAAATGCTCTCGATACTCGAACGACAACATACTGGCTCCTCAATACTTGGGAATATCTAGTTGCACTACTCAAAACTTTGGCACCCAATGGAAATGCTCACTGGTACTTATAGTACACATAACTTGTAGGGGGTCTATGATGTCCCAAGGACTAAAGCTACATGCTAGCTTATGATTAAGTCCTATGGGGCTACTGTTAGATATATGGGCCAGGGGTACCTGTACCACCCATATTTGTGACTGTGGGGGATATACCCCCAGGTACCACAAGATGGTACATGGGCCGCATCATCCGAGGTGGCCCGGCCCGTGAGATCAAGGCGTGCACATCAAGATTATAAGTTGTACTAGATATTATAATAGTACCAAATTGGATACTTTACTTGTAACCTTGTCTCTTCGGAGTATATAAGGAGAGACAAGGGTCCCCTAGAGGACAGATCCATCTAGATCCATAGAGATCATACAAAGATATACATCTCAATACAATACACCAAAGACACAGGACGTAGGGTATTACGTCGATCGACGGCCCGAACTCCTCTAAATCGTCATTGTCTCTCTGCGCCTTGTGTCACCATCTGGTTCCCGATTACACGCATCCTCTACCGATAATCTACCACCACGGGCACTTTCGTGGATCGGGCAACATATTTCGCCGATATTTAGGATGACCGTCACCAGGCTATCCGCCTAGCAGCTGCCAAGGAGGAGGCCTGCAAGGGCTGACATGATTGACCAACATGGAGATCAAGGCAAACCAAGACAGGCATATCTGGATGATAGCTAGGATCAATCTATTGCGCATATTGTGTAACAAACTAGGAATCCAATCTGTTAGCCCGATCGCACTCATTGTAACCCTACCCCCTCTACCTATATAAAGGAGGGTAGAGACCTCGGGCTCAGGATCCATCTTTCACCATTCCAATCTACTATGTAGCTAGGAGCAATAGCCCCTATAATTGAGCATATGAATACAAGAGCGACAACACCACTGGAGTAGGGTTAGTGTGCCATCGCACCCCAAAATAGTATAAATCTCTATGTCTCATGTGTTACCATCTAATTGTGTCTATGCGATCACGTTGCAAGTTATTGCCGAAGCAAAACAATCCGACACCATGAATGAAGTTGAAGATGTCCATGAGGTGTTGCTGGTGCTTCTCTTCTTCTTCTTCTTCCTTTCCTTCTCCAATCCAAACTCCAATCCTTTCTCTCTCTAGTTCTAGGGTTCATCCTTGTTCTTGAGTTGTAGAGAGAGAGGGTGAGTTGCAAATCAATGAGTGGGTGAGAGAGTGAGTGAGATGGAGTGGCTTTAGCTGATGAATAGCTCATTTTCATGCTAACATATGGGTCCAAGCTTTGCAAATGGAAAACAGCTCATCTTTCACTTATCCTTACTGTCTTGTGATCTACCGGACGGTTCGGTAAACCTGGCAGAGTCTCTGATACTTCTTTGTCTTTGTTGAATTGATTAATCAGGTGAGTGGCTTGGTATTGGATGTCAAGATATCATGTCCTAGGATATTCTTTGGCTTTGATATGGTGTTGATGATGTTAATTTGTTGTTTTCTGATTCAAGTAGGAGTTCTCCGTTTCTTTGATCATTACGCTACTACAAAAACCTGATCACCGCTGGCTCCAGAACCCCCATTACTGATGATTTTGGCCCCCATTGGTGTAAGTCGGTGGTGACTGGCGACCTTTATGTCCATTGGTAGTGCGTCGGCGGTGACGATATTCTACCGCCGTCAGTCTGGCGTACCATACGGCGGTGACGGTATCATACCACCGTCGGCCCGGCTTACCATCCGGCAGTGGCAATGTGTCCTTCCATGCTGGCCCGACATACCATCTGACGGTGATGATGTGTCCATTGGTGCCGGCCTGGTGTACCGTTTGGTGGTGATGATGTAACCATCGGTGCCAGTATGGCATATGATCCGGCGGTGATGATGTAACCATTGATGTCGGCCCAGCATACGATCTAGTGGTGATGATGTAACCATCGATGTCGGCCCAGTGTACCATCCAACAATGATGATGCAACCATCGACGCTGGGCCAGCGTACCATTCGGTGGTGATGATTGAGCCATCGATGCTGGGCCGGCGTGCCATACAGTGATGATGATGTACCTATCATCATCGGGTCAGCGTACCAACCAGCGGTGATGATGGACCTATCGACAATGGGCCATCATACCATACGGTTGTGATGGTGAGAACATCAACGCCGGTTCAGCGTACCATCCAACGGTGATGTAGGTGCCATCGCACGCTGGCTAGTGTTCCCTCCGGTGGTAATGAGGGGCAGCGTCACCGCGGCCGTTGTGTTTGTTCCGTAGTAATGTTTTGTCCATTACCGTCGACGTTACCACTATGCATCATTATTGTTCACAATACATTATAACACCAACAATACATAAATTTCATGGCTTACTCATCGCCATCAACATATATAAACAAAGAGAATGTATTGTATCCAAACATACATCACTACCGAGATACAAATATCCATACAAAATGACAACAACAAACATAGTTTTCAACCACAGTGACATAACGTCTGGCATCCAACAACAGCAAATATATAGTTTTAGAACTCTAGCACCTTGATTAGAAAAGGTGATGGACTCCCTTGGGGTTCACAACTTGGTCTATAGTGAAACCGGAAAGATATTCTTGGAACCTAGATATCTCCAAATCAGTCAGCTCTGGTGTAGATGACACTTCAGTCTAGAACACAAGAAAAAGGTGAAACATAGTTAAGAAAAGCTTTGCTAAACACTCTAAGTATGTCGTGAGGTCATCCAAATTTACTAAAGGGGCTAAGGGGCCAAACCTGTGAGCCAGAGAGAGGATTGATGAGGTCGCGCATGTAATGCATGACATAGAACCCGTAGAGATCATTGCCCGCAGGCTGCATTGGGATCGAACCAGTCGATACTACTTGAAACCCAGATCTACCAAGCTCATGATGTTTCTTGGACCTTGACTTCAACTTCTCATAGGCCCTGTGCGACAAGTTCATGACAGCTACATAAGATGATCAAAGCTATGTAATAAATAATCTTATCATTGCCAATGTAGTAGTAGCTTGTCTTACTTGTTTAGCGCCTCAATGAAGGGATGGATGTTCTCTAGTTGGCTCTTTTGAGAGTCATAAACATTAACAGTGCTCATCTCTACGCTAATGTCAAGAAGGACATGATGGTCATTGCTGCATATACAACGCCACCGTCGGTTTGAATTAGGTTCAACCCTCAAATATGTAATGGAGTAGAAAATTAGGCATTTACAACAAACTTACACATAGTTGTAGGGTAGAAGTATGCTGCGTAATTTGTTGACACGGAAGCTCTTTGCCAATTCATCGATGGTGCTAGTGTACTTTAGTGTCCCTTGATTGCATACCACTGGGTTTAAGAAGCCTATTTGAATTTGTTGCACACTGTAGAAGTCTGCCTCCTTCCTACAAAACAATCTGTAGTTGTTAGAAACTCAACTTGGAGCTATAAAATGCATGATTTACTAACTAGACTTACATGGTCCACAAGCTCATGATATGAATGTCTAGGGCCAACTTTTGGTAAAATTGAGACAATGCCTTGAACTGAATCCACAATGATTCATCTGTTCTCCTGTACAACTGTTTATCCAAAATTCTTGCCCCAAACTGAACACTATGTTGACCTTTGTTCCAATTACACACCTCTCGCCCTCTCGGTCCTAATTTTAGGACTTCTCTAGGAGCCACCAGATCACCCCAGCCTAAAACTACCATACAGGTGGTGCCTCCTCTCTATCCCACCGAAGATCACCATCTAGAAGTTCTTTCTCTGTCCTTGTGTTTTCTTGCAAGTTCGGAGATGGTTGAGTTGTAGTCCTAGTAGATGGGCCAGTCTTGCAAGTCTTGGGTAGTAGTGGTTCCTCTGTCGATGTGTTTTCTTGCAAGTTCTAAGATGGTTGAGTTGTAGTGTAGTAGATGGACCGGTCTTGTGAGTCTTGGGTCGTAGCGGTGATGAAATACTTGGTTCCCTATTTTGGTGTGAGTCTTCATCATCCATATCATCATCGGATTCAGAATCCAAGCCAAAGCATATGTAGTGCTTGCACCAAAAAGCTTGGCAACCCAAGTTCTCCCCCAATGTCTTCCTATCATCATCCTTTGGGTGATCTAACTCAACTGCATGGTACCTGGTCTTAGTTACTGCATCAATGTCACCTTGGAGTACCCTACAAGCAATTGATGGTTCTACATCACATCCCCTACTTCTCCACAAGGATAAGCAAGACCTATGGCCACCTTGGTCTTATAGAACTTCTCCTGCACATATAGGTTGCATGGTCTTGGCTCCGTGATCTTATAAACGGGGAACATGAGATATGCATCATCGAGAGGAAGCAGTGTGCTGCCATAGCTACTCTATACATGTCTAGACTGATGACCCTAACCACAGCATCCTCATCTAGTGCCAAAGGACAATTCTTTATTCTCCCCTCAAGTTCTTGACATAAATGTTGATTGTTTTCTTTCATTTCTTGTCGAACAACCTCCATCAGACATTGCATCTCCAATTTTTTTGGGCATTTCTCCTCATATGACTTCTGTACATGGAGATGTCATCTAGGAAGGAAAGCTCTGATTTAATAAGTCCAAACCCTCATGTACGACTAGGATGCTCTTTGTTTCCCAGTGCCTGGGTCAGCTGATCATTCTCCCTATTAGGCTTGAAAGTACCATTAGCAACTTCCTCGTGGACCACCTTCATCCTTTGTGCCAGTTCCTCGATTGCAGCATCTGTATTAGGCTGGCCAGTGCGTTCCTCTTGCTGGGGGCCTCCTCCATTTCATAGAGCCTGTGATCATCAGTGTGTAGTAGGATGAGAGCTTCCTTACTAATGAGATCACTAAGATCTTGTTTGGTTCAATCCACATGTGTTGGGGTGGATTGAAGTGGATCTTGAACTAAATTTTACAGCAATCCACCTCAACACATGTGGATTGAGATGAATCTAACAACATCCAAACAAGGCTTAAAGAGGAAAATAATCTGACGAAGATCCATCATTGAAGTGAGAAAGCATACCTTGCCTCTAGATCTGGCAGTGGCACAACGCAAGGTGTGCACACAAATAGCGAGAGGAACAATGGGCTGGCTGTGTGGGAGCTGGCGGCGGCCGGCCGGCTTTATTAGGGCTTTAGTCTAGACGAAGGGTCCATATTCAATATGCACTAATGTACGCCACAGATTTCGAGCATCAACCATCAACCATCACCGTATGAAAGGTGATGCATGTTGTAACACCACTGTAACGCACTGACATTGACTTCAAATCACCAACGCGTCCATTCAAACAATGGTTGCTTCACCGCTAGATCATATGGTAATCTGACGGTGATAACTTGCTTCACCACCGGATCTTACTGTAGCGCACACTTCCATCTTGGCACCACCAGTAAAAAAACTGTTATCTCTGCTGGTTTCTCTGGCGTCGGACATAGAATGAGTAGCCGACGGTGAAAACTCTTTTTTCACCAGTTTGGCGGATGATGTAGCAGAACCAAAAAATTTATAAAGCCTTGCATAATCCTTAGCGTCATTTTATTTTGGTTTATGACGGGTAAGTCTAGCTGAGTACCTTCTCGTACTCAGGGTTTTATTCCCATTGTTGCAGATGGTATAGTTTATCACGGCTATTACAAGAACTGCTTCTGTCCCGCTGTGGACGAGGAGTGAGCCCTAGGCAAGCATCTCTTATTAATCCTTCTTATATGCTTTTGTGGGACTGTGATCACGAGTTGGCACTGTATTTGAACTATAATGGCAGATGATAGTTTCAAACTTTAATTTGCTTCCGCTACTATTTTACTGAACTTGGTTTGTAATAAGCTTAAGTCATACTTTGATGAAGGAACTAGATTTGTGAACTTTATGTAACGCGTGACATGTATGTTGAATCATGTACGATCTTGGTTGTATGTTGATGGTTAATCGAGACCCGTCATGGTACTCGATGGACTACCGGGTTTATATGGGCTCAAGTATGATCGTGCGACCACTTGCGGGCTGCAATTGTACTTGTGCTCTTATAAATTGGTCAGTTCTGCTATAGATGACATGGTGGCGAAGGTCGACATTGTGTTCACCACCGGATTATACGCTGGTCAAGCGGTGAAACCGGTAATCACTACCAGTTATTCAGCTAGGAGGGGTCCCATAGGTAATGGGCTAGCGGTGATATGTATCACCGACGGTTATCTCAAAACTGTTGGTGAAGGTCTCGGCGGTGAATAGACTTTCTGTAGTAGTGTTAAACTGATCTTATCTTTTTGAAGATGTTCTTAGGTTGCTTGATGGTTTTCATAACATTTAATCTTGCTTAAGGCACTAGGAATCTCCATTGGTAAACAAACATCTAGCCTCACCGCTTCTAGTAGCAACTTCTTAGAGCTAGGGTAGAGGTTCAAATTGGAATGACATTTTGGGTTGTTACACTTTCGATAGGTACGATAACTTCGATTGGTGGAGAACTCGATGTTCATGATCTAGGCTTCAAACCAAGAATGGTTCAGACCCCACAACCGTTATACCGCTGCTCCATTGGTTATCAACCATGAACAATGCGATTGACCTCGCTGAGAAGGCTTTCCTGCTAGCGGATGGAGAACACAAGCAAGAACAGGATGAACACAATATGAAATTGCAAGAAAATAACAAGCTTATGATGCTGATGAGGAGTTCAAGTCTTTATTCTAAAGGACTAATCGCCAAAGGTGAATAGGATCAAGGACAGGGGCCCTGGTTCATAGCAAGTGACCTTAGCGGTACAATTGCGGCAAATGATGTCTGTTTCATGAGGAAAACAAGAACGCAACAAAACCCAAACCCTAACGAGAGTGAAGGCAGCTATTTATAGAGTCTTGGATGTCACCCCCTTGGATGCATCCCCTAATGGGCTCTAAGACAATACATAGTCCAATGGAGCAAAAGACAGTGTCACAGCACTGTGGCAGATTCTGAACGCTCACTTGTTTCGACGATTCCCGTTGACTCAGAAAGAATTTTGACGTGATTCCAAAGACAATGGTTAGCTTATCAAATTATATTTCCATGATATCTATACCATAAAAAATAGAGTCTGTATGCGTCCTAGGAATTGATTTTACCTAGGCCTACTACTAGAATCTGAGATGGACTCCAACTTTAGTTGGGCTAGGCCTCCACCATGATGAAGATGAGTTCGACGCCCACACTGCTCCTCCTCCCCTCCTTGGCTTGAACGTGATGGAGTGATGTCCTCATCATAGCCCCTCGACTTAGACCTAGCTGACTTAGATGGTGCAGCTACCTTGGCTTTGAGGCATTGTTTGGCCTGGTCAGCAAGGTCTTGTGCCTATTTGATGACGGTTGCCAATGGCGACCCATCTTGTGCTAGGGCTCCCATAGTGGTTAGGAGCGTCTATTGGCATTTCTTAGCATAATCACCAAGTGTGGAGGTTTTAAGTCCATCCTCGGCAACAGCATCAGAAATGTTTGTTGGCATTTCTTAGCGCAATCACCAAGTGTGGAGGTTTTAAGTCCATCATCAGCAACGGCGCCAGAAATGCCTATTGGTATTTCTTAACACCATCAATAAGATTGAGTTAACCTTAGCAACACCACCAAGAAACACCAACTATGATAGTTCTTAACGATTATAGAAAATAGCAAGTGCACGGATCTATCGTTGTAGCATTTCATCCAGAAGTATTCAGGGTATCGTTATTTATATTTTTCCAAAGGAGGGCAAGGTGTAAAGAGTCTAGCATGAGCATGAACAAGATTGCATACTTGCACAGTGGACCATAGTTCATGACAGGGGTAAAAATGGTAATTTTAGGATAGTGGACACACATCTGGGCCAACCTCGAGGATAAAAGGAAAACAAAGAATAAAAGAATGTTCCTACGTGGAGCCGGCATGTTCTAATATGGCCGTGAAAGGAAAAGTTAATGATCATACAAGTTACATGGTTAGAGCTAGAACTAAGTGCAAGATAGGTTGGGAGGCCACCAAGTACTAGTCTGCCTACAACCTAATGTGACAATTTAGACTCCTACACCCTACCCGAATGTGGGGGATTACAAGGGACGGACATGGCTGTCACCACCTGCCACCTACCCCTCAACCGGAGAGTAGGAAATGTATTCACCTGTCTCTCCATACCCAAGCACCATGCTTGCGTACACAGAAACTACACAAATTCTCCTGGGTCCTCGGCCCTATGGATCGACAGGTAAAGAACTTGGGCACACCCGAAGGCATGATGAACCGCCACCTCAACTTAGCTCTAATTCTACTCATATAAGTCATATGAATGATTAAGCATAAAGTTCTACATGTCAGGATCATAACATATAAACTATATGCTAGTTCATATATCATGATTATAATATGAAAACTATAGTCTAGTTCATATGGATTGCAATATTGTAAGAATGAGAGCATGATTATGGAAGAAATTGTCTTTGTATTCATACCAAGCTTTCTCTCTTTTCTCCCAAGGAGCCAAGCCCTCCTTGATAGCTCATGCTAGCTCCAAACTACTACTACTAAGAACTAAAGATTACAAGTAGAGAGGTGAGGTGTGTAGCTCCAAATGATGTGTGTGTTAAAAGGTGAGACTACCCCTCTACTTATAGTGCTAAGTGGTCGGTTTTGGCGCTGGTAAAATAGGAGACCGACATGGACTGCCTCTGCATGCCGCCATGCAACCGCCAGAGCAAGCTGGGCCCGAGCGG